GCAGGACAAGGCTCTTCCCCCAGAGGTGTTTGGGCACTGAACAGCTCCCAGGGCAGTGTCACAGCCCCGAGGCTGACAGAGCTCAGGGAGTGTTTGGCCAGTGCCCTCAGGCACAGGGTGGGGTGTTGGGCTGTCTGTGCAGGAGTTGGACTGATGATCCTGTGGGTTCTTCCAGCTCTGACTATTCTGTGATCTGGGTGCTGAACCTGGTACCTGGACCAGCTGCAGCCTCAAGCGCAGCTCAGAATGTGACCCTGAACATGCTTTGGAATCGTGGAATTATCAAGGTTGGAAGAGACCTACAGAATCACCCAGTCCAACCATCCAGCAGCACCACCACTGTGGCCCCTATACCACTGACCCAAATCACCCAGCAGAGATGGAAGGAGGAGGGTGATGTACTGTGAGCCTGTTCATAGAATCATGGAATGGGTTGGAAGGAACCTTAAAGATCATCTTGTTCCACCCCCTGCCCTCGGCAGGGACATCTCCCACCAGAGCAGGTTCCTCAAGGCTTTATCCAACCTGACTTTGAACACTGCCAGGGTTGAGGCAGCCACAGCCTCCCTGGACAACCTGGGCCAGTGTCTCACCACCCTCACAGGGAGGAATTTCTTCCAAATATTTAATCTAACCCTGCCCTCCAGCAGTGGGAAGCCATTCTCCCCTTGTCCTGGCACTCTGGGCCCTTGTCACTCCATCTTACTTGTAGGCTCCTTCATTCTCACTCTTGCTGTGCTCTGGGAACCTTTTGTATCTGCTCCTTTCTCCCTACACTGCCATAGCAGCACCCAGAGGAAGAAGAATTCTCTTTTGTCCCCTCCTCAAGACCCTGTGAGGCTGCTGCTTTCTTAGGGCCTTCCACAGCCCAGGTTCCTCAGTCAGGCTTGGAAAGCTCTAAGCCTCACACCCATTCCATACAAAGTCCATGAGGTCATTTGTGAGTGGAAGATCAACAGAACTGATGGCCAAGGGCTCTAGAGGAGTCATGGATACTTTCCTCACCTACAACTGACAGTGCCTGTCACTGCACTGTCCCCCTCCCTTTCCTCTGAGATTAGTGAAGGGTCTCCATGTGCCCCATGCAAACTTCCACAGAGAACACCCTTCCTCCTGCCCATATGCATCTGGAGTGTCCACAGAGGCAAGGACAAAGCATAGAGAGTTACCAGTCATTGTGTTAATAGCCACTGCACAAGCATCCCCAAAATGCCCTCCCAGAACCACCCTGATCAACTCCTCTCTCACTGGGAGAGCATCTGAGGGGAAAGGATGACACAGAGACATGGGCTGGGATGCAACAGAACTTTAATGAGTCAAAAGATGGAAACTAGGTCAGTGTGAGTGGGGTACCAGTGCAGGGAGAACCAGGGGCAGACGAGTCTGTGCCCCATGGCCCTGGCAGAGATCCCCCCAGGTGTCCATCTGACAACTCCAGAGAGGGAGCAGGGACAGCAGAGCCTCCCTAGGCTGTGTGGGGCTCACAGACCAGGGGAGCACAAGCGAACAAGGACATAGGAGGGAAAGGAGTGGCAGAGGGGACAGGCAGGCATGGGCTGTGCTTTCCCAGTGCCCAGGCTGGGCCTGGCCTTCTGCAAGGTTTGGTGGGGGTGCTCAGCCCTTCAGGAAGCAACAAGCCAATGTTCCATCACCAGTGAAGAACCACCTTGAGTGTTGCTGGGGCCTTCCCCAGGGCCATCAGCAGCAACTTTAGCAGGGGAGACAACTCCTGCCACAGTAGCCACTGCCCAAGCCCAAGCCAGAGAGGCCAAAGCCACAGGAGCTGATGGG